GTGCCGGTGGCAAAGCCTGAGCTAGGCTACTGGCAGGTGCAAATCCACCAGGTGCGAATTGGCGACACCATCCTGGATGATTGCAACGATGGAGGCGGTTGATTTTTGGGACCATTAATTTAGAGGTTTCCCAAATTGTGATCCTTTTGAAGGTGCATGTCGATTCTTTTTCTTGAAGTATTGCGAGATCTTCTGGCTGCTTTGGAGGCTGCCGGGCCATTTTGGACACTGGCACCTCCTTGCTCGGTGCTCCTCGCCAGGCCATTTCTTATTTGTGCACTTGAGCCATTCCCAGATTGTGTATACACTAACCTCGACTCTGACCTATTGTTCCTATGTATGTGACAAGGGAGGCACCAGAAATGATTAAGAAGTTGCGTTGTGATGTGGGAGTGTCTTGGATCCAAAGAGCCTTTAAGTTGAAGTGAGACTGCATCGGCATGCCTCCAGATGCCTCGAGGCCATCAAGACTTTGCACTCCTTGCTGTCCCGAAATGTTTTGGTGGTGCCCAATGGAATTGGTCACGGGGAAGGCTTGGTTGCCCATGTCCCACAGTCAAATCTTTCTGCTAAAAAGCATGAGCACATGTTCTGCACAGTTCCGATGATCGAACATACTCATCAACTCATCGATGAACGTTGATGCAGGCTTTGTGACCCAAGAAGTGGCTGATGCAGCCCTTTCCAGAGATTGTCGGACTCAGGAGACATGCGGTGAATTTTGGTGAATGAGGAAAACAATCAAGAGTTATAAAAAGGCAGCATGGTCATCATGGAATCACTCCATATGTCTGGACAAGAGTCACTTTCCTGCCTTGTGATAGTTATACAACTCACATCCGGTGAAGCGAACCAACATCAGTGGAGACCACCAAAAGAGCAGATTTCCCACTTCCCGCCCAAGAGGAGGGTGATAAGCTGACCTTTGACTTGGGGCCAAACGTTCCTGGCATTGTCTTAGATGCGGAGGACCGGGCAAGGAATAGGGCGGGCCGTGCTGCAAATTGTGTGAGAGTCAGAGGGGCGACAAGAAGTTGTACCGCCCACGATTGACAAGGTACCCATAGGTTCAGCGTCTGTCATGCACCAGGACTATTTTCGACCAAAGCCTTTCAACATGACCGCAGCGGACTGAGCATCTGAACTTCTCACATCAAGCATTAGCCCCTCACTGCTTGTCTGGCTGCATACATGATTGATTTGTGGTTTTCTGCCAAGATGCCTGAAGTTGACGGCGGGTGGAAGCTCACCTGCCGTTCGCTTTTGCTGCCGCTGGACTTGCAGGCTCAAACGCAAAAGAGGGTATGGGCAGACCATTCTATTCATTCTGTCGCTGTTTTGGCCTGCGGCGGAATCATATAACTCTGACTTGTTGCATCAATGATATGCACAGTGGACCACGGCTCTCTTGTGGGCTTTCTCCAGGAGCCCCTCGGGCCAAAGACCTTTATTCTTGGCGAGCCGGTCTTGAGGTTCTTTGGCTTCAGAATCTGGCGATAGGGCCACGGCGGGTGATGTGGGTTTCTTTTTGATTTTCTTAGCTGCTTCATCATTCTGAGCCTGCAGCTCCCAAGGAAATACTACACCATTTATGTTCTGACCTCATTTTGCAAGCGCAGAAAACATGTGTATAGAACAAGACGCTACTATAGGAACAAAGGGCATCGCTACTAGGAGCAAGGACGCCACTAGGGGCTCCTGGCCTTACTACTAGGAACAAGAAGCTATTAGTAACAAAGGGCATCGATGGAGTGCTTTCTGAGTCCTCAGGACTGGGCTGCCAAGCGCGTGGGCTTCGCCCAGGCAGACCATAGCAACGATGGCGAAGCTAACACGTTGGGCGTGGGCGCGATTGGTTCTCCTGAGGCTGGAAGGGGGAGACAAAAAGTATCGCTAAAACAGAGGAGACAATGCTGGGTGGTGACACTTGCCAGGAGGGCTCCCTGATTGCTGGAGCGCCACTGAGCAAAAAAGGCGCGATCGAGCACCTGAATCTGTTCTTCCACTGTGAATCGTCCTTACTTTGCTCAGGTAATGCGACTGGAAGATCTCAATTCTTTAACTCAGAAATCTGAGAGGACTGATGGCAGGTATTTCGAAAAAGAGTGCGTTCGAAGCTAGTTTGAAGGGCATGACATACTGAAATGTCACGACGTACTCCAATTCTCGAGAACCTTCAAGTGCAGTGAGATTGCTAAGATGTGCTTCAAAAGATTTGTTGAGCACCAAGGTCTGAATTCTGAACGCTACGGCTCTGAGCTCCACTGGGCTCCAGTATCTTGAATCGACTCAAGATGATCCGTTTTTCATAAGTTTTGTTCATTTATAGTCATACAGTATCATAAAAAGTCATAAACAGCTTGCATAGTGAGAAGAAGTTGCTGAGAAGAAATCCTTTCTCGTTTGTGCTCTCTTTGCCCAAGGTGGCTAAGCCTCAGCACGGGCACTGGCAATTGGCTGTGCGAAATATCCGTGTGGGGGCGGGGACCTCAGCTTGAGAGGAAACTGCCATTGGTAGAATCTCCTTGCTTTTGCTTGTAATCCTTTAGTCCCAAACCACCATCCGCATTTGGGGTCGTTTGATGAGGTTGATTTGGGGCTTTCCAGAGGGTTCTTGGATCATGAGAACACAAAATGTGAATGGTCACAACGCTGTGTGATTTGGCCAAGAACGAGACATTGGAGCTTTGCGAAGCGGGCGACTGCACCGCCATAGCAGACACGGGCACTTCACTGATTGGTGTGCCCAAGGCGGGACGACCTGCATGGCAATTTGAACAAGTTATGAGCTTTTTGCATTGCATGTTTTCTTTTTCTCACCAACAAAACCTAAGCAGCTTGCAATCTCTGTTGTCTTTTTCTCCAAAGCGAGCGCAGATGGCTTCCGCCAATAAATGCTTCTATATAGAGGTTTGTCCGACCAACCCTCTATTTGCATCGCAGGGCAATGTCAGGGTACTCCACAAGAGGTTTGTACGGGTGGCATAGTGCTCTTTTCTCTAGGCCTTTGTGCAGAAGATGCACTGGCTTCTTGCACGGCGTGTACTTCTGGCTGCAGTAAGTTTCTTTCTTTAGGGTGCAGTTTAGCTACAGTGTGTCATCATGTTGACATGAGTTCGCCCTGTGACATGGGGGTTGTGAGTGGAGCCGATGAGAGATTTGTCATTGTTTGGGCAATCCGCTCGTTCGTGTGTTGTTTCAATTGATTGTTGGATGATGTGTTCAGGTCGACGACGACAAGGTTCCTGCCGAGGATTCCACAGACTATTTTGACTGTCGGAACCAGCCTGGGCGGGGAACTTATGCCGGCTCCCATCCCTAAAAGTTGCGGAGTTAGGTCAAGGCCTTTTGGCTTGAATTCAGTCCAGGCCGGATATTGTCTTCGACCTGGGAGATGGGCTGGAGCTGTCCATTGGCGCTGAGGAGTATGCCTTTCGACACAATTCTTTTGGTTCATTTGGACAGGTAGGTAGGGTAAATATGGGTAATTAACACTGACAAGCATGGCCCTTGTGCCTGCAGGAGTATTCCCGTCCAGCTGCTTTGAGGGTCATCACCAATGCGACAGGGGAGGAGAGCTGGTGCATCTACTTGTAGGTGACAGGAAGGCAGCAAGAAGGCAACTGAATGCTTTGACAGTTTGGAGGCAGACTTAGTAGCTTCTTGCTCCTAGCAGTAAGGCCAGGAGCTACTAGTAGCGTCCTTGCTCCTAGTAGCATGCCCTTTGCTCCTAGCAGCTTCTTGCCACTATGTTGGTCAAGTTGCAGCTACAAGACTCGGCCCTTTCACGCAGGAGGAGCTGATTTGTAGAGCGTCCTTGCTCCCTGTAGAGGAGATCCCTGCATTAGGTCGTGAACACAGAAGATGCGTGAACATGCTAATCACTTGCACACTTTTCGATTGCATTCTTGCAACATGCTATATTGTCATATTGATAAGTCAAGCTCCAGGATTTTGTAGGCTTACACTGCCTTCTTCGTGCTATGTTGCCTGAATTCGATTGAACCGACATAGAAGCCCACGTACAGAGGTGTTGATGTTGATCCTAAGCTTTCAGTTTGTTTCAACGTAGGTGACACCCCAAGGCCCCCAGCTCACCGCCACACCCCTTGTGACCGCTCTGAGGTCCCAAGACTTGGATCTTGGGCGAGCCTGTGCTGCGGAAGTACTACTCTGCTTATGACTGGAAGAACCAGCTGCCAGCTCGGTGCAGGGGTTTTGTCGCTCTCACACATGGACCCGAGGAGAACACTGTGACTATGAGATTTAAAGACTGCTGTTTCTTCTTGAATCAGGGATGAAGGGAGAAAGAACTACCATTGACATGAAGCACCTCCGACTGCTCGTGATTGGAAGTCCCGTCTATTTGGGACTTCCCGGACTTCCAAGGCGCATCGGATTTGCGGAAGCCGTCCAGCCGCCTCCACAACCAGGAGCTGGTCCGGCTCATCGGGTGAGGGACTAACAGGGAGTGACTCCGATCCACCATTTCCTGGTCACTCTATGACTGATTGTGCGGTAGACACTGCCAGTTTGAGCCTGAGGTGATTGGTGCTCCTCCGCAGGCAACACAGAGAGAGAGAGAGAGAGAGAGGGAGGGGGGGACAGTGAACTTGTAGTGTTCGCTTGGACGGTGAGAGCACAGCGCAAACGAGTGAACGGCAGGAAGTCCCAGCTCCAACGGTGCATAGCTTGGAGTACAGTCTACTCTAAAGCTTCACATGCACCCAGCAAGCATCCAGCTGACCTGGCTTGCAAGGTCGTCTACATCTGAGCCTCTCAATGAGATCCGTCTCAATGTAGTGCAGCATGAAGCTGCAAGATAACGTGCTAACATGGAAGAGGACGACCAAGACCAAGCAAATGCTTTTTGGCTCCTCGACCGGCTTTTGAGCCCCTAAAAAGGTGCTAATGTGAATCGTTCCCAGGCCATAGAATACCATAGTGATATGCTTGGGCTGAATCTTGACTTCTTTGCCTCGAACCTGGCAAAGTGTCAGGGGAAGTTGTGCAGGAGGCTGGGAATATTTGTATGTTGCTCAAGGTTACTGCAACCTGCCAACGATAAATGACCACCTCTATGTCAGGGCGTTCCAAGCAACCCAGTTTGTCAGGATTCTGGAGCTTACCCATTGCACTCTGCCGAGTCCTCAGCTTCAAGGTCAGCTAGACAGTTTCTTTTGTTTGCGGTTCTTCCCGGTGCCTCTTTGTTTGCGAAATACGAAGCTGCCAGCCAAGGTGGAAGGGCAGATGAGGTTGGCGGGAGATATATCCTTCCATCTGAGAGACTACGAGGCTTTGGATGCTCAACAAATTCGGACACGTGACAACATTCTCTGTGACTCTATGCAATCCGACACAATCGGAGGTTGCACTTGGCTACTATCGCAATGCACATACCTTAGCGGCCTTGTGGGGCCTTTGAGCTTGATGAGTTGCAGCAATTGCAAAACATGAACCGGACAAGAGGCTCTTCAAACCATATGGTGAGTGCATGCTGCCAGGTTGTCAGTGACTTCAAGCAGGAGAATGATGAGAGAGACATAGTGATTCTAGGTGTTTGTATGCCTTGTATGGAGGACCGGAGTTGGAAGCACGCTGCTGGAGCTTACGAGATGTCGATCTCCCAGTTGGAAGCACACGTAGAACTTTTCTTCGGCCCGCTGACTCGATGGAGCACTTCTCGCAAATCCAAGGTGGGGCCTTTGCACCTATATCACCAACGGAGCCAGAAGTGCACCTGGCCTTAACTCTCTCAGTGCCACCTGCCTGCCACATGCCTTGGCCACTCATTTTTGTGAGACCCTTTCCTGGGTCCTGACTGTGAACGAGGAGCGGAATCGCTGCATGGAAAGTGCCTATGAACATTATTTGCAAGCATCCTCCAGCAGATTGGCGATGCGAGTCGCCCAGATGCACTGGAGATCAGTTTGTGAGGTTGGTTAAGTTTTCCTAAAAACTCCTAAAAATCTAGAAACCAAGTCATTACTAGTGCGAGCGCTTCTTTGAAGAAGCGTGAGCTATCCTGCGTCCTGTTAGTAGTAGCTAACTTGTAGCTACTAGCTACCTAGTTACTACTAGCTACCTCTACGGCCTACCCCCCCGGCAAAAACAATAATAAAGACATATAAATTAGTTACTAGAAGCTTCTTGTTACTACTAGTAAGGCACTTGTTACTAGAAGCGTGGCACTTGTTACTAGAAGCGTTTTTGGTTTGTTCATGTTTGTTCCTTGTGGCCTTCAGCCTTGCATCGAGGCGGTGGTCCTGCACCAGGCCATGGTCTCGGATCTCAAGGATGCCGCTCTGCGCCTTATGAAGGCCTTTTTCTTGTCCCGGTACAAGTGGCTGGACCCGAAAAGGGAGGCCAAGGAAGAGCAGAGAAGGTATATAGTAAAAGTTTGGGAGGTAAGCATTGCTCCCCACCGATTCTATGGCGAAGTCGCATGCAGGTGAATGGAGATCTAGCTGATAGCAACTTGAGGAATGCCCTCATTCTGGAGCAGGACAAGCGGCTCAGTCAAGATCTGCCGAGTACATGAATTGACTTGTGAGGCGGGGCAGCTGTACTACACCTGTGCTGCTCCTAGGCCGAGCAGAAATCCAACTTACTGATTGATCATGATGACTCTCCTGCGGACTTTCCTGTACGTAGGAAAGGCGCCTTCCATCTTGTCCTGGCGGGTCATACCTACAACAAGCTCGGCTTCAAGCGGCTGGAGCCTTGAGTCGGTTTCAGCAAGTGGTTGTAGCATGTTGTAGCCTGCAGCGTGCAGGCTTGCACTCTTCAGCTACCAAGCGGTGGTTGACTTGTACCTGGGAAAGGGTTGGTCCTTCCGGCTGTACTTTTTGAGTTCCTGCAATGAGCTCGGATAGCTGTTGATACATGCCCGATGACAGGTTCCACATCTCTGATCACTTTCACTTTACTATGGCACGCCAAGCGAATCGCCCTTTACTTGGACTTGAATCACGTTTGGAAGTGTTGTGTAAAGTCTCCAGCATTCATGAGGATTGGGGCTGAAAGACGAGATTTGGCCTCAGAAGAAGCTTTTGCAATCAACTGATTGTTTCGGCCAAATTTCAATTTTGCTGTCCATTGACTATATACTGCGTCCATTGACTCCCGTCGTCCTTCAGGTCCCTCTCACACTTCCTCGAGCTCCTGAATTCCTTTGCGGATGCTGATAAAAAGATTGGTATCCAGGAGCGGACCGGGGCGACCTCCAAACGACGACTCTGGGGAAATGGATAGCGATCCATCCATTGACCCATCTTGAACTGTTTGCTTCTGAAATTCTGGGATTTTCACCTGTTTGTTCTCTCAAAAAGTCACTGCAGTGGTGGTTTGATGGAATTGATTGCTGCTTTGAGAGTTCGACTTGACTTGCAGGCAGAGCGGGAGAATACCTACATTGAGGAGAGATTTTGGAGTGTTGGAAGAGTTTGTGAGTCTTGTTGACTACTATGAATTGGGAAATAAATGCAACAAAGGCGAGAGGAAATGATTTGAATTGGGAGGAGTTCCTTTATGTGATCAAGGATTGGGTTCACAAGTCAGGAGATTAGTTTTTTTCATCAAACAACCATGCACATCACTGGTCCTCACCGGTCCTCAGTGTCTTGCTATGATTGTCTGACTGGCTTCGACCAAGGCGGTGTGGCGAAGGGGAGACCAAGACAATTGACCTTCAGGCCATTTTAGACACTTTGTTGTAGTTGGCTAATGGGATGGTTTGAGAGGGACTTTTATGCAACCTCTGGCCCCTTTGTAGAGGCAAGATGACCAGCTCTCATCAATATTTTTATTGTCAACTGAACCCCCGGGTTGTTAATTAATCATTACTTCCATAGAACTAGTCTGTTGCTCTGCTGCCCAGATTCCTCGCATTCAACCTGAAGTACGGGTTCGATTGCTGGATGATGTGGAGTGCTCCAGAGAGGCAGCGGTGTATTCTTTTGGCATCTCAGTCCTTGGAGTATGAAGATGTTCCGTGGAGGCCATGTCTCCGAAGAACGGAGATGAGGCTTGCAATTCTTTACCACAAGGGCTTCAGGTCTTGATTTCACATGTTTTCACATGTTTTGGCATGTTCTTACTATCCCTTCCAGCTACAAACAAGGATGCTTGCGCTTGCCGGACTCTGTAGACCTCAAAGATTTTTCTCATTGACTCGGACAGGTTGCGGCAGCACCCTGGGATGCTCTTGGAGAGAAGATGCTGGGCATCACCACAGAGGAGCATGGCCATAGCCGCATAGGCAGCATAGCACTGGCCGCCAAGCTTTTAACCAGCCACTGAGTATTAGCTTCTAGCTACCCCGGCCTCTCACGACATGCCCCAACGAAGACAAACATAGGGAAAAGAAGCAGTAGGCAAACATGGTGTTTTGCAGGACCGCTTGGAATTAAATTGGCGACAAAGGTGCGTCGAATGTTTGCTGGATGCAAGGGGTAGCAGTGCCTTTTTACAACACTGAACGACCTGCTCACCACTGCACAATGCATATGCTCTCCAGGTCAGATCCCCGTATTTTTGACACTTTGCGTCGAGTCACCACAGTTGGTGCCGAGGCTCACCCAGTCACTCACTCGAACTGAGTTGAAGTCACAAGAATGGGTCGATATAAAAGCTGCTGGCCATAGCCCAGACATGGTGTTGCGGGCAGGTGGTGGTAGAAGTTACCTTGCGACATGCTTAGAGTTGAAGGTGTAGAATCTAATTAATTCGAAAGGAAATCCACACATACCGAGGACGAACCCTATGAGGGTGAAGTGGGAGATGGCCGCCGTCCGTTTGAGGGGTCAACTCCAGAGTACTGATGGTGTACCGTGCTCAAGCAATTCAGGCCACACATGGCCAGACCTTGTGGTTGCATCTTTTTGTTCTGACTTGAGTTGACATTTAGCAAAGCTGCTTGTAGCTTCCTTGACTTTGTGCCTTGGTAGACGTACGATTGAAAGTAATAGTTGCGAGATGACACCTGAGGTCGCTGAGGAAGTGGTCTTCGCGTCTCAGGCTGGCAAACGCTTCTAGTTGAACACAATACATTTTATCAACTGAAAAATGGTTCAATTCTTGCACTTCATTACTATTCCTTTCTCTTGAGTTCCTTCCGTTGGTCACTGCGATCTTCTCGACTGAGAGGACGTGACGTTAGCTCCGCTGGAGTCAAGGACCATCAAGCTCATGGCTGTTCCACAGAAAGAGGCACGAGTCAGGGTGCAAAATTTTCAAATATACAATATATGACTGTATATATGACAACTCGCGAGACTCGCGGGGACCGTCACGAAACGAACGCCGCAGAGCGTGGCCCAAATCCCCTCTGTTGTCTAGTGGGGGGATCCAGCTGGCGCCGCCATGGAGAGAGCCATGCAGGAGCTCTGCCTGTGTGGCTCTCTGGCAGGGCTAACAGAGCCCGATCTGGAGGTCCTGGCGGCGCTAGGTTGGACGGTGACGAAGCTGGGCACGTTGAAGGGCTGCCGTCTCCACGTGCTTCAGTCCATCCTAGTAGCCGCCAGGAGGAAGAAGGAGAGCTTTCAGGCCGAGTTGGCTGACCTTCAGGAGATGGTGAATCAATGCGACAAACGGTCGGCCAACATTCACCGAGCAGACGCGAGCCGAGGTTCCCACGAGCTCCTGGAGGCCCACTTGGAAGACCAGAGGGAGAAGAGGAGGCGCGCCCTCGGAAGCCTCGAGGAGCAGGAGGTGGTGGAGCGAGTCAAGATGGTTGGATCGGCCAAGGTGATCAAATGGCCGACAAGGCTCGGGAAGAAACTACATCTTGCAGGGGACGACCTGGCCTTGCGAGAGCACGCGGAGAAGTCGGAGCGCGACAGGTGGCTGGGAGAGTTGAGGACGATCATCAAGAAGGCCAAGCTGCCGGTTGCACTTCGATCGAGCGAAGATTCTCTACTCATGAGGATCGCAAAAGGAAGGCGTCCAAACACTTTGAGAAAGCACGTCAAAACATGGCAAAAGGTGGGGCAGTGGCTGGAGTCGACCTATGGCAAGATCTGGCCTACATCACCCACGGAGTTTGCAGAATACTTGGAGGCCATCGTTCAGGAGCCATGTGCGAAGTCAGCCCCGGAAGCAGCATTCAAGACATTGATGTTCTTGGAGTTCGCAGGGGAAGTGGAGGAGGGTAATAATCTCTTCCACAGGTCTGCGGCGGTGAAGAATGCATTGGAGGAGGCGCAGCTCAGGTTGGCCTCGGCGGAGATGAGGCCGTCGAGGCAGGCGAGGATGATCCCGTTGGCAATCATCGAGGCCATGGAAGACATGGTGCTGTGCGACGACCGACTCCCCTTTGTCAGGGCATACGCCTGGTTCAGGCTGGTGAAGTTGTGGACGGGAATGCGCTTTGATGATACACGAGGGACACCGAACCGGAGCATTGAGCTTCGAGATTCACACCTGGTAGGGGTCATCCACAAGTCCAAGACCTCTGGGCCGGGCAAGCGTGTCCTCCTCCTCCCGTTCTATGTCAGCAAAGACGCCTGGGTAAGCCGATACAATTGGTTGGAGGTCGGATGGCGGATCTGGACTCACATGGGCATGGAGTCTGGCCTTTTGACCCGAGACTTTATGTTGGCTTGGCCGACGGTGGACAGGCGATCGTTTGCAAGGCGGATGGCGGACTATGCAACGGCCTCTGCAATGTCACAAGCTTTGTTTGGCGAGCTGTGGACTATGGATGGAAGCCAGAGGATCTCGCTGCTGTTCAATGGAGTAGGCGCGCTACGGACAGAACATAGCGAACGTGCGACCTTGAGGTCGTGGGCAGCGGCCGCAAGGGTGCCGGAGGACATCCGGCGTCAGATGGGCAGGTGGCGGCCGGCCGCCGATGAAGGCTATGAGCGGGTGGTTCGTGCGAACATCCTGCGAGCCCAGAAGATCATAGCAGCCTTCATTCGAGACAACAAAGGAAGAGGAGACCCCATGGACGAGTCGGCAGTGATGGAGGCAGTCAGCATTCGCATGGGGCTGCTTGGATATCCGGACGAGGCAATGGAGCTACAGACACGCCTGCTTGAGAGGTTCCATCCAGAAGAGGTGGCAGTGGAGCCATGTTGGAGGCCTAAGTGGACGTCGGCAGGGCCGGTGGTGCTCGTCGAGCCGGAAGACGGCGACCCCATCAATGATCGGAAGACTGGGCCTGAGGATGCCGGCTTCGAGTCAACGGAAGAGCTGGAGACGGAGCCGCAGGGCGAGGTGGTCCGAGCAGAGGCAGTAGCGGGTAGCTATGTGGTGTCGATAGTTGGTCGATCGCGGACGCGAACTCTGCACCGCGTGGGGGAGTGCCATAGGCAGCCCGGTGTACATTATGCACAGTTTGAGTTGCTAGGAGATGAACCTCCAGATACAAGCCAATATCATCGAGCTTGTAAGAACTGCTTCGGTGACGGTGCAACCGTGGCAGGGATTTCTCCGGAGGATGAAAGCTCCGGGGAAGTGACTTCGTCGGACTCAATGGAGTCGGATGTGGAGGCATCATTGTGAGAGATTCGTGGGCCTCACAGTGAAAGGGGACGTGCTGCACTAAAGGGGTGGTATGCGGCGAAACATCAAACAAGAGAAGGGCCGTGTACGGGTCATAGGAAGGCCTGAGGCGAAAGGGGGGGTTAAAGTTGAATGTGGTTTGTGTTTTGGTTTTGAGTGTGCTTTGCCGGGTTGATTGATCGTTTCGTGGAACGTCATGGATTTGTGCAAGCCTTGTGAGACCTTCCCTTTCAGGCATGATGGTGCATGAGTGGGGCTCCAGCCCGGGCGGCCGTTCAGCGGCGGTTCATTCCCGGGGTTTCTCACGGGGAGGACCAGTCCTCGTGAGTTCACATGGCGGGAGCCGGGGCTGCTGCTGGGGCGCTGGACATCGGCCATGACACGCCGGCACGGCGGGCAAATGCCATCTCGCTCTTGGATGCGGATCTACACGGTCTTCTGCAGATCAAGGAGGTGAATGAGACTCTGCAGGCAAAGCTGTCGGTGGCAAGGGTGAGAACCATTAGCAGGTTGAGCACGGTGACTGACGACAGGGCTGGCATGAGGAGGTTTTGTGTGGATTCCCTTGGGCTCGATGAGGGAAGGGATGTGATAGATATCGCATCTATGGTGGACGCCTGGGAATCCTCTTCGACCAGAATGACAGTGAGGCACAAGGCGGAGGCAGAGGCAGGGCTAGCCAGTCAGCCCCGAGCTTTAAACAAGGTCGAGGTGCAGGATCTGCTCACAAAGTTCCAGGCGGTGCACGGCCTCAAGTTGGAGGACAGGAGCATACCAGCAGCGTCAACGCTGGAGCAGATCTTTGACCAGGTGGAGCAAGGGGAACTGAAGAATATGAGCCTCGTGCAGTTCGTTAGCCGAGAAGACGCCGAGGCAGATGTGTTGGGCGCCACCATTGAGAAGGGCACAGGAGCTTTGAAGGTGAAGAAGGGATATGGTGAGTGCCCCAAGCCAAAGACACCAGAGGACTTCAGGCGTCGCATGGCGGTCGTTTCGCACTCGTACTTACTGGCCCAACTGAAGTTCCCACAGAAGGCTACACTACGTGACCTCCAGCCAATGCACTTTCTCAAATACCTGGATTTGATGCTTGGTGAGCATGTGCTAGGCCTCAAGGCCAAGAACCAAGATGGGGAGACAGTAGCATCGCCCGACTTCGATTTGGTTCTCTCCTATGACTTCCAGGTGAGAAGAGCTATGGTGAAGTTGGCGAACGAGGGCAGGTTGCTACATGAGGCATTGAGAGAGGCCATGCTGGACACCACCATAAAGGAGCGCTACTTTCTCACACCCAATGTGTACTCGCAGGTGGCTCATTCAAGGACACCACCATGGAGGTCGCGGAGCCCACCGGTGGAGCGCTCGTGGGGCATGGATCGAGGCCGTGACGGTGAGCGAGGCAAAGGAAAGTCACGGAAAGGAGGAGGAAAGGGCAAAGGCAAGAAGGGCGGCAAGCAGTTGCACGACCGCACGCCCGACGGACGCCAGATTTGCTGGCGATGGAACAATCCCCGCGAGAGATGTCGGTTCAACTGTGGCAGGCTGCATGTTTGCCAGGTCTGCTTCGGGCCACATCCCATGCACGCCTGCGATGGGAGCGGGAAGTCCAAGGACACAGCTGGGGGTGCCGCGGAGGGCGGCGGAAAAGCATCGTGACGCCACAATGAGGCGGGTTGTGCCCCAGGCCCGCCTGCATCGGAAAGCGCCACGAGGGGCGCACGAGAAGGCAAGCGTATGAGTGTGCTCTACCTCTTCAGTGGAGCGCAACGGAAGTCGTCAGTGACATCGGTGCTTCAACATCTATGTCATCAACAAGGAATCCATTGTACAGTGCATGAGGTTGATATTCAGAACTCCCCAGAGTGGGACCTTTCGAAGGGGGCAGTGCAACAGCCATTGCTGCAGCGCATCAAGCAAGGTGAGTTCGACGCGGTCTTGGTCACACCGCCTTGCTCCACATGGAGCAGGGTACGAGGGGCAAACTGCAGAGGCCCGCCAGCCATCAGGTCTCGTGAGCACCCATGGGGTTTTCCCTGGCTGTCTGCCAGGCACCTCAAAGATGCTGAGCTGGGCAATGTCCTGATCGTCTTTATGTTAGACGTGCTAGAGACTTTGGAAGCGCATCCGCATGCAGCATCCGGTCGACTGGTCATCGTGTTTGGCGAGCACCCGGGGGACCTCGGTCTCATTCGTCGAGAAGAGGATGGAATGCTGATGGAACCGGCCTCTATTTGGCAGTTGCCGCGCATGCGAGCCCTGGTGCGGCAAGATGCAACTCTTGAGTTGTTCACTGTGGTCTTCAACCAATGCTGCTGGGGGGCACCTTATCGCAAGCCAACACGACTCATTACCAATCTGGCTGCTCTGCGAACTTGGGGGCAATGCCAGTGGCCCCAGTTCGATGCACACCGCCACTATGTGGGCCCCATCCTGGCATGCAGATGCAAGCCCACCGTGACCTTGGCCAGGGCGAAAGAGGATACTTCCTTTCGCACCTCAACAACATCTACCTATCCAGCAGCGATGGATGAACAGCTGGCCCAGTCAATTCTTCAACAGTGGCAGAGGGCTCCCCTCCAACCGGCTAAAGAGGGGGAAAGACATCCGATCGGAGAGGAGCCTGGCAAGGAGCAGCATTGCAAGAGGCACGCAGAAGGGAAGATCAAGGAGTCGCCCCGCAAGAAAGCAAAGCCCTCTAAGGAGAAGATCGAGGAGACGCCTGACAAGAGAGTCAGACCGGCAGAGGGGCCACCCATACAAGTCAGCTATAAAGGTGAGACCAGGGCACTACATGACGGGGCAGGTCTTTGCTCCCCGGGCAGGTGGCCGGTCGACAGGAGGAGGCTGCCGGTGACGGAGCGGGAGAAGTCCACGGTTGCCTGGTTTGAGGACGCATTCGAGACTTGGCTGAAGGAGGTTGGAGTTGAGGAGGCCAAGCAGATCTTTTGGTCCATGGCGGCCGGGAGAGTCAAGCAGTCTCCTTTCGAAAAGGGCATCGACGAGGCTCGCAGGGCTCTGGATCAGCACCTGGCTCGATGGGGACTGGAGCCTTGCAGGATAGCCGAGGACAGACCCTCGGAGATAAACTTCAGGAGATTGAGAGCTTTGGCAGAAGCCCTGAGCGATGAAGACTTTGGGTTCCTGGAGGAAGTAGCGGCCCGTGGAGTCAGGCTGGGAGTTGATCTGGAGATGCCAAGGACGCCAGCCGTGTACGAGGAGAAGGTTAAGTGGACCGTGGATGCTACAGACGAAATCATGAGGGACATGTTGGCAGAGAACTACGAGTCGGCCGAAGAGAATGCAGAAGACATAGCTCGGCAAGTCCTTCATGAGGTGGAGATTGGCGCCATTGTGAGGATGATGGAGCATGAAGCGAGGAGGAAGTACAAGGGCCGATTGGCGGTGGCGGCTCTCGGTGCGGTCCCGAAGGAGCTTGGGACAAAGAAGGTCCGGTTGATCCATGATGGGACTTACAGCGTGGACGTCAACAGGAGGATCAGGGTGAGAGACAGAATGCGCTTCCCGCTGATCGATGACGCCACGGCAGTGCTGAGACAGGTGGAGCATGAGCTGGATGGAAGTCAGGGGGCAATTCGCTTCTCCGTCCTCTATGACATCGCCAGAGCACACAAGTTAATCCCAGTCGATGAGGAGGATTGGGGGCTACAGGCGTTTCGTTTGCCAGGCGACAAGTCAGGGGACATCTTCGTGCGCGCCAGGGGCACTTTTGGGGTGGCGAGCGCCGCCTACTGGTTCGGCAGGGCCATCTCGGTTGCAGTGCGCTGCGTGCACCGCCTTCTCGGCAGGAGGTACGGTCTCCTACATCTCATTTATGCAGATGATGGTTGGCTGACGGCAACCGGTCGGGAGTTCTGGAAGAAGATCTTGATGTGGTTCTTCACCTTTGAGCTACTAGAGATACCCGTGACCTGGTCGAAGGTGCGAGGCGGCACTGAGGTGAACTGGATTGGCTATTGTCTCAATGTCCACACCTTCCAGAAAGGCATCAACCAGTCGAAGAGAACATGGATCGTCGATTGGATAGATCGCAAAGAGGAGCAAGGAGGTGTGCTCGGGCGAGAGCTCAAATCGGTGCTGGGGCGGCTCAGCTTCGTTGCCGGGGCGCTGAGACACGTCCGCCCGTTCCTGGCCCCTCTTTTCTCGTGGGCTTCGACCATGGCACCTGGCACTTTCTCGAAGTTCCCAGATGCTGTGATGATTTTGCTGGACTTCATACGAGAGGAGGTGAAGAGAAAGCCAATGAGGCGCGCCGAGCCGCTGGAGAGGTGCCCTGTGGACATCTTCAGGGTGGACGCCAAGGCGGCAGGGGAGGACATCGTCATCGGTGGCTGGGAAACGGGGATGACTCCCGACCAAAAGACGGCCAGATGGTTCTCCTTTCGGCTGAATAGGAAGAATGCGCCGTGGGCGTACCTCAAGGGCGACCCCTTCAGGAACATCGCCACCTTGGAGCTCATCGGCGTCCTGGTGGCAGTGATGATGTTTGGGCCGGAGGCAGGCTGGACGACGGGAAGTGCGGCTGTGACACTCACAGCCTTGACGGACAACTTGGGGAATACCCATGTCTTGAAGAGATATGGGTCAAGCAAGTATCCATTGTCGATTGTGGCAATGGAGTTAGCGGTGCAACTCGACATGCTGGGCATTGACATGCAGCTGCAATGGGTGCCCAGGGCACAGAACCAGCCTGCAGATGATCTCACGAACGATCAATTTGATGACTTCGATCCAAGCAATAGGCTGACAGTGGATTTTGAGGCTCTCCCCTTCCAGGTCATGAACCGATTGCTCAAGAAGGCAGGCGAGCTAGATGCCGAGCTCAAGCTGTTCAGAACTTCGAAGGAAGCTAAGCTGGCGCAGCTGCAGGGCACTTCATCGACGAAGGTGGGCAAGGCCAAGAAAGGCGAGTTGCGGTGGAGAGATCCATGGTGAGGACTGCAGGGGAGCCAAAGTGTAAACCATGGTTTTAGAATTGTTCCATCGTAAGGGTTGAAAGTGTTGAACTAGTGTTCGAAGGTGGGGTAGTGCAGACCTCCCTTCTTACTAAAGTAGGGGGATGAAGAAGCGAGGTCATTCATGCACACACCTCTCCTAAAA